TCAAGTGCCTCAGATGTGAGATGCAAAAAAATCACACTTTCAATACATTTAATGTGAAATTACTGAATTTCATACGAGAATCACGCTCAACATCCGCAGAAATTCATGGATGGGATGACAATCATTATTTTGCGAACTCACTTAAAAAACCACGAACGAAACAAAGTTCCATCAATAAAATGATATATTTTATGTTGTTATGATGTTAATGAGAAACACTTCAGTTTCTGGAGTGATCAAACACATTGTTGTCGAATTTACAATTTAGTTTTCTGCAAATATATCATCTTTTTGCTTGAATTATATATTTTCACTGTATTTCTTCTGCACTTTCTAAACACCCCCAGACAACACCTCTATAGGAATGAGGTCAACTTTGAGCCATCCTCTAAATTTGTCTAGTAGGAACTTTCCGCGAATTCAAGTACATTTCCTAGATGTTCCAACGGATTGTTTAACTATTCTGGCAGTTCGCCAACTGAGTTATTTTATAAAAAAATGGCAAAGTTGGAAGCCGAACTTCAATCATGAACATCTTCAAGGAATATTCGAAGAAATTTGTGCCCTTTGTCTCTATGCTGTCTCTAAGTGAGCTAAATTTTTGAGTCACTGGTCTCGATCTAAATAGGACTTTTGTGACCCAGGTAATTGCTATTGCCAAATGTTTTGAGCACGTGTCAACTATTAATAACTTCCTCAGACTTGATGTGACACATTTTTTGAGTCATTATTTTCATGTCTTCATGTTTGGTTATCATCCATCACCCAGGTCTTCATTTGACTGCAGGGAAACAAAATACAACAATCAAATCTGTTGATGGTAAAAAAGCTTTCTTTCTACCATTGTTGTGTTGCGGGAATTGTTGGCTATTGCAGCAACAGTAAATGACCCTGACCTACCAACCTAAAAAAAACTATCGAATATACCGCTATGTATTTTGAAGCGATGCGGGATTGACAAAAAATGTATGGTACTGTTTGGCCTATTTAATTGTACCGTGCTTAGAGCTTTAGCTGGTTTTGCTCAAAATCTAGTACTGCCTGGCGTAGCCAGCCAACCGGTTGTTGCTTATCAGTACTAAAAGCATCTGCGTACTGGGACTGTGACGACACCAGCATACTACTCTTTTTAGCAAATTGCCTTCACAATTCACAAATAGTAGGTTGGACGATCGCATACTCGTTGCTCGGTAGATCGGCACCCACTTCCACCAGCTGAATTCCTGTTTAAAGAAAACGTCATGCTTGCAGAGCCGCACTTTACATATTTTGTACACACACCCAGACCATAGATGCAGTCAGAAAATTTTCCTACAAATAAACCAAACGATTTTTACATGAATTCACCAGCGTACCTTCATTCATTCGCACTAAGTTTTTGAACATTCTATTACCGTGAAGAGCTTCCTTGAATATAAAATTAATAATGCTAAAAATTGATTTGGACTGTTTGGATCAGCGACCATCGCGCCAAAACTATTTTCGAATTATTGGTGCAATTTCTTAGGCGAAGTTGACCGAGGGAATTTAGAAACAAGTTTAAAAAATGTTAATTGAAAAACGCACACTTAAAACTGAAAATACTTGCTAAAAACTAAATCAGAAATTCGGCAACAGTGCATCTATAGTTAATGGAATTTTCCGTTAATATTACTTACAATCCCAATCTTTTTGGCCGTGACGCAATAATTGTACTTTTTTTCTATTACTTGCCCAGCGAACGAGATGGAAATTTGTTGTTATTAACGTATGTCTTTCATAAAACTGTTCCAATTCACGGAAGTATGGAAGAATATTAAACTGATTTGATTTCTTGACAAATTTTGGTAGTTTCTGTGAATTTTTTCCAGTTGTTATTTCAATTTACCGATGCATTTTCTATTTCTCTGTCTGCGATTTTTGGGTACCGAAAATGCATAAGCATTAAGCAATATTGGGAGGGCAAATAACAGTTGGTTTTAGCCATATTTTCACCACTATAGCATAGATCTTGTATGAGTTCCTCATTCTTTTTCTCGCTTCTATTCTCTTCATAATTTAACTGCAGGTTTACCGCCACGAAAATAACACACTTTAACATTCATAATTAACACCAAGTACTGCACAATTGAGGCGAATTAATAAATAAACTGAATAAAGTGATTTATTTTCCCAATTTATTGTTTACATTTTACAAATTTCTTCTGCCTCATCAAATCACTTAGATGCCATGTTCTCAACTGCTCTGGAAAAAAAGTTAATTGCTATTTTATATAGAAAAATAAAATTTCTTCACTTACATCAAGCAATACTCATAATGAATGTTTAATTTAAAAACAGTGAAAAATAACGATAGTCTTGAAAACTCCTAAAAAAGCAAAATATATAAAATTTAATGCTTTGGATTCGTATTACATATACTGCATATTTATAAATGTTTTATGTCAAGACTAATTGTACATTATATTGTAGGTACAATAATATAAAAATGAAATCTGGCAATTCTGGTTATGTGCATTTAAAATTCCTTTCAAGTATTACAACTTGGTAATCTTTACTAGTTTGAGGTTCCAATCAGTCAAAACTGATTTTAGTCACATGGTTTATTTTAAAACTTTTAGCGCGTTTTGAGTTTTAAATTGATTTGCTCTAGGAACTATTCAATTAAACAAAAAAAAACAAAATTGTTGCCTATTGCCATTTTGAAACCACATCAAAGATTCTTCTTCAATTAAATTTTTTTGTAAAATCAACGTATGTGGGTGCGATATGGATCCACGGATTAAGATGTTGAAATGATACCTGAATATACAAGGTGATTCAAAATTGGCGTCTTTCCTTTTAAGGGGCTATAGGGGTTGACTTAGAGAGAACGAGAAAAATATTGAATTTTTTTACTAAAATTCCTAGAAGTTATTAATAGTTGAAGATCGTATTTCAACTTTGTTAATAAGCATAATTTTGAAATGGCCCCACTTTTGATTGGTAGTCTATTGAAATACTTAACCGTTTGAAAAGAAAAATTATGATCTTTGCTTCAAATGACTAAAATTTATTTGGTATTAAAAAATAATTTCTTCTACAATTTTTGTACATAGTTACAGGCAGTCAATAATAGCAACATCGAATTTGCGAATATGTGATTAGTTATGGGAATGCCATAGTAACATAGCAGAAGCTATAACTGAACCAGCAAAGGTCTGGAGACACTGGACGATTGGCTCCCGGAATTGACGCAGATAATAGACGATCTTGAGCTGTTCGGCTTCCAGCCTTGAGAAACAGGTATTGAAGATAATTGCAGCTGAGCTTTCCAGTAGTGCTCGAAGCATTGCACAACCACTGCACTTCCTCAAACACCGAACAATTGTTTCTATAACTCCCGCGGGGAAGGGCGTCATTCCTACCATGTATGTAAGATACACAGCACCCTAGAACACATTAAATCTCTGATCTTCCGAATACCGGTAGAAAATGAGCGGGAGTTAGGGGTTAAACGGGCAGAGCTTCGAACGTCTCTTGTGATTTAACAACTTAATTGTATTTTATTTGTTCGATTTTGATCATTCATACATAACCTATAAAAGGTTTCTGATGACAGCTGTAACGGATTTAGGAATATCACTCATTTGCCCCAAAAAGGCTGGCAGCATTGACGGCAAAGTGGCAACGTTATCCTAATTTCAAAGTATTTTATTGTCACTTTTACTTTCTTTGTTTTGTGTTGACTCATGTTTACAGTTTGTTACAGTTTGTAATAATTAAGAAACAAGAGGTATTTGTAATATTAATTAGGCAGATCAACTTGACAAACATTGTTGACATGCTTCTGATCTATTTTTTTGCAAATATCTGAGTTTTTAATTACAATAAATTTTTTTAAAACTATTTTTTGTACTCGCAAAACAACCGCAAACAACACCTTAAGGAATGACGCCAATTTTTAATCACCCTGTAGAGCTACACACATTTGGTGCGAAAGAACTCAGTCTGCAAAGCGTTCTTCGGATCATGAGTGGAACGTAGGCGATTTCTATTTCATCTATTGCTCGATTTGGCTGCATAGGTAACGATATCTCCCTCTCTTTTCGCTTATTTTACCTCTTTTGAACACGTAATTTTGAATGTACGTTTGCCGATTACTACCCTCGTTGGAAAATATGGTGTGTTTTTAGGAATTTTGTTTTTGATATAACTGTTCGTTATGAAACTTATTATGTATTTCCATTAAGTAATCGCTGTTTCGTCAACTAGTTGAATTAATACATATAAATATAAGATTGTCCTTCTTCTACAATATGACTTCAATTCCAAATGTTGCTAAAACCCGAAAAAATATTTTCAAAAAGTTACTAGATTTTTACGTATAATTTTGAACAAAATCTGGTGAGGTTTTGGGCTTATAGACTCGCAAATTTCTTCCTGAGGTTTAGCAAGCAGGACCCAACGATGTCTGCAGATCTAAGCCACTCATGCCTGTAAAATGTAAGGAAGAAATTCTAATTAACCACGGCCAGCAGCTTAAAAACCCGAAAACACACCAAGTTCCATAACACTGCTATGAAAGGGAATAGTGCCTTGTATTACGTACAGCCTGCAATTATTAGTGAACGGGCACTAAACATGGTCTTTCACATCTCTCTAATGATTAAATCGGTTACTGATAAAACACCTTTGAGAGCTGAGCCCGGTTCTGGGAAATCAACTTGTAGCGTTGCGCTTGCCCGATTTGGCTCGAAGAGACGTGTTTCTCAATACACTGTGGAT